TTCTGGATGTGAGGCCCAAGGCTAGCAGCTATATGTCGGTGACGCGAGGCGTGTGGTAGGAACCACTTCGGTGGTCATCCGTAAAAATTGGAACGATACAGAGAAGATTAGCATGACCCCTGCGCAAGGATGACACGCATAAATCGAGAAGTATCGCACTTTTTGCTTGGTGGCGTGGTCGTGGGCTCGGCTGATGGTGAGCATTGTAACCGTGCGGCTGTTAAGGTGGGAAGACGGACGGAGAAACGAAGGACGCGCAAAAGCTTAAAGCATGAGGGAAGAGGGGATCGAACCCCCGACCGCTGGCACTGGAATCCAGCGCTCTACCACTGAGCTATTCCCCCGATACCAAAACCCAATGTCCACACATGCAGACTCCATCCACACACCGATACGCATTACGAGATCCACAATTTCTACCCACTCACCCCGCCACATCTCACCCTTCTTTACTTCTACGACGAAACCACGTCACGAGCACCTCGCACACCTCTCTACGCTCATCGAAGCGTCGTGTGAAGTGGCGGAGCCCTTACCGATGCGTCGCAGCAGCTTTAAGGAAAGGAGTTGATGTGGCAATGTGGCATGCGCTGAGTGAGCGGTGATGTAGTAGTTGACGTATGGTGTATGCATGGACGGTGAGTGCGATGTATGCATGTTCGTGCGTATGTTTTTATTGTGGTGTATGTGGTGCTCGTGCTGTGAATGTGTCTCTTTGAGTCGAGGTCCGTAAGCCCATATAGCTCAGTGGTAGAGCACTCGCTTCGTAAGCGAAAGGTTGGTGGTTCGATCCCGCCTGGGGGCTCTTCTTTTGCCTCTCCTGCCTCACTACTTCCTTACCGATGCCTTCAGCTTACTAGCTTGCTAGTTTGCTAGTTTGCTATTGTGCACTTTGCGTGACCAGCCTGTCCGTAGCCACACTCAATACTCGCTCTGTTGTACGCTGACCGCTCTTCATTATTGTTCCACCACATCTAGTACCTAGACACCAACATTCAGATCTTCCAGATGAATTCTTGGTGTTGCGGCTGCTCGACGCCGTAGGTAAAGTCGTGCCGAAGACTGCTGTCGCGTGTGAATCGTGTCTGTGAAAATATATAAGAAGATATCATTACGAGCTGCAACAACTGTCGGATCCGCTAGCATGATGTCACTGAGTCTGACCGTGAAAGTTGCCCCCCCCCTGTTGAGAGTATTATGTACGAGATGATATCCGTGGCGGGTAGAACATAAGCAGCGTACGTAGGTGGTGGCCAACATGCCACCAGCCGAAGACATGCAGAGGTGAAAGACGCTGAATGCTTTGACGATTGAAGATTGTGCTGCCGGCGAGTGTGGATGTTCTCTCTTAGTGTTGTCAGTATTTGATAAAGGCGTGCGGTATGCGCCGTATCTATGGGTGGTAGCACAGGTCGTGACGGTATGTGCGGGGTGGTCGTGAGTTTGGTTTGGTTGATTTGATTTGAATCTGATGAGGGTGGGAGTGGACATCTATGTTTTTGTTGCATAGCGATGACAGCTTGGCCGAGTGGTTAAGGCGTTAGCCTGCTAAGTTAATGGGGCAACCCGCGTGAGTTCGAATCTCACAGCTGTCGTTTTCCTTTACCTCAGCAGACTCGCGGTATCAAAAGCGGCTATTTCCTGGCCTGCTGACCAGGTAGATAGATACCTCTGCTTGTTGCTGGATAATGGTCCCGACCAACACACGTGGCCAAGCGTGTGAAGACATTGCGCAGCTAATCTGAAAATGCTGGTGGATGCACGGACTGGGCTGGTAGCCCTTCCCTTTTCGACGAAAGTGGTTCTGGATGTGAGGCCCAAGGCTAGCCGCTATATGTCGGTGACGCGGGTCGTGTGGTAGGAACCACTTCGGTGGTCATCCGTAAAAATTGGAACGATACAGAGAAGATTAGCATGGCCCCTGCGCAAGGATGACACGCATAAATCGAGAAGTATCGCACTTTTTGCTTGGTGGCGTGGTCGTGGGCTCGGCTGATGGTGAGCATTGTAACCGTGCGGCTGTTAAGGTGGGAAGACGGACAGAGAAACGAAGGACGCGCAAAAGCTTAAAGCATGAGGGAAGAGGGGATCGAGCCCCCGACCGCTGGGACTGGAATCCAGCGCTCTACCACTGAGCTATTCCCCCGATACCAAAACCCCACTTCCAAACATGCAAACTCCATCCACACACCGATACGCATTCCGAGATCCACAATTTCTACCCACTCACCCCGCCACGTCTCACCCTTCTTTACCTTCTACGACGAAACCACGTCACGAGCACCTCGCACACATCTCTCCGCTCATCGAAGCGTCGTGTGAAGTGGCGGAGCCCTTACCGATGCGTCGCAGCAGCTTTAAGGAAAGGAGTTGATGTTGCAATGTGGCATGCGCTGAGTGGGCGGTGATGTAGTAGTTGACGTATGGTGTATGCATGGACGGTGAGTGCGATGTATGCATGTTCGTGCGTATGTTTTTATTGTGGTGTATGTGGTGCTCGTGCTGTGAATGTGTCTCTTGGAGTCGAGGTCCGTAAGCCCCTATAGCTCAGTGGTAGAGCACTCGCTTCGTAAGCGAAAGGTCGGTGGTTCGATCCCGCCTGGGGGCTCTTCTTTTGCCTCTCCTGCCTCACTACTTCCTTACCGATGCCTTCAGCTTACTAGCTTGCTAGTTTGCTAGTTTGCTATTGTACACTTTGCGTGACCAGCCTGTCCGTAGCCACACTCAATGCTCGCTCTGTTGTACGCTGACCGCTCTTCATTATTGTTCCACCACATCTAGTACCTAGACACCAACATTCAGATCTTCCAGATGAATTCTTGGTGTTGCGGCTGCTCGACGCCGTAGGTAAAGTCGTGCCGAAGACTGCTGTCGCGTGTGAATCGTGTCTGTGACAATATATAAGAAGATATCATCACGAGCAGCAACAACTGTCGGATCCGCTAGCATGATGTCACTGAGTCTGACCGTGCAAGTTGCCCCCCCCCTGTTGAGAGTATTATGTACGAGATGATATCCGTGGCGGGTTAGAACATAAGCAGCGTACGTAGGTGGTGGCCAACATGCCACCAGCCGAAGACATGCAGAGGTGAAAGACGCTGAATGCTTTGACGATTGAAGATTGTGCTGCCGGCGAGTGTGGATGTTCTCTCTTAGTGTTGTCAGTATTTGATAAAGGCGTGCGGTATGCGCTGTATCTATGGGTGGTAGCACAGGTCGTGACGGTATGTGCGGGGTGGTCGTGAGTTTGGTTTGGTTGATTTGAATCTGATGAGGGTAAGAGTGGATATCTATGTTTTTTGTTGCATAACGATGACAGCTTGGCCGAGTGGTTAAGGCGTTAGCCTGCTAAGTTAATGGGGCAATCCGCGTGAGTTCGAATCTCACAGCTGTCGTTTTCCTTTACCTCAGCAGACTCGCGGTAGCAAAAACTAATCTGAAAATGCTGGTGGATGCACGGACTGGGCTGGTAGTCCTTCCCTTTTCGACGAAAGTGGTTCTGGATGTGAGGCCCAAGGCTAGCAGCTATATGTCGGTGACGCGAGGCGTGTGGTAGGAACCACTTCGGTGGTCATCCGTAAAAATTGGAACGATACAGAGAAGATTAGCATGGCCCCTGCGCAAGGATGACACGCATAAATCGAGAAGTATCGCACTTTTTGCTTGGTGGCGTGGTCGTGTGCTCGGCTGATAGTGAGCATTGTAACTGTGCGGCTGTTAAGGTGGGAAAACGGACAGAGAAACGAAGGACGCGCAAAAGCTTAAAGCATGAGGGAAGAGGGGATCGACCGCTGGGACTGGAATCCAGCGCTCTACCACTGAGCTATTCCCCCGATACCAAAACCCAATGTCCACACATGCAGACTCCATCCACACACCGATACGCATTACGAGATCCACAATTTCTACCCACTCACCCCGCCACATCTCACCCTTCTTTACTTCTACGACGAAACCACGTCACGAGCACCTCGCACACATACCTCCGCTCATCGAAGCGTCGTTTGAAGTGGCGGAGCCCTTACCGATGCGTCGCAGCAGCTTTAAGGAAAGGAGTTGATGTGGCAATGTGGCATGCGCTGAGTTGGCGGTGATGTAGTAGTTGACGTATGGTGTATGCATGGACGGTGAGTGCGATGTATGCATGTTCGTGCGTATGCTTTTATTGTGGTGTATGTGGTGCTCGTGCTGTGAATGTGTCTCTTTGAGTCGGGGTCCGTAAGCCCCTATAGCTCAGTCGTAGAGCACTCGCTTCGTAAGCGAAAGGTCGGTGGTTCGATCCCGCCTGGGGGCTCTTCTTTTGCCTCTCCTGCCTCACTACTTCCTTACCGATGCCTTCAGCTTACTAGCTTGCTAGTTTGCTAGTTTGCTATTGTGCACTTTGCGTGACCAGCCTGTCCGTAGCCACACTCAATACTCGCTCTGTTGTACGCTGACCGCTCTTCATTATTGTTCCACCACATCTAGTACCTAGACACCAACATTCAGATCTTCCAGATGAATTCTTGGTGTTGCGGCTGCTCGACGCCGTAGGTAAAGTCGTACCGAAGACTGCTGTCGCGTGTGAATCGTGTCTGTGACAATATATAAGAAGATATCATTACGAGCTGCAACAGCTGTCGGATCCGCTAGCATGATGTCACTGAGTCTGACCGTGCAAGTTGCCCCCCCCCTGTTGAGAGTATTATGTACGAGATGATATCCGTGGCGGGTTAGAACATAAGCAGCGTACGTAGGTGGTGGCCAACATGCCACCAGCCGAAGACATGCAGAGGTGAAAGACGCTGAATGCTTTGACGATTAAAGATTGTGCTGCCGGCGAGTGTGGATGTTCTCTCTTAGTGTTGTCAGTATTTGATAAAGGCGTGCGGTATGCGCCGTATCTATGGGTGGTAGCACAGGTCGTGACGGTATGTGCGGGGTGGTCGTGAGTTTGGTTTGGTTGATTTGAATCTGATGAGGGTGGGAGTGGATATCTATGTTTTTTGTTGCATAACGATGACAGCTTGGCCGAGTGGTTAAGGCGTTAGCCTGCTAAGTTAATGGGGGAGTTCGAATCTCACAGCTGTCGTTTTCCTTTACCTCAGCAGACTCGCGGAAGCAAAAACTAATCTGAAAATGCTGGAGAATGCACGGACTGGGCTGGAAGTCCTTCCCTTTTCGACGATTGTGGTTCTGGGATGTGAGGGCCCAAGGGCTAGCAGCTATATGTCGGTGACGCGAGGCGAGGGGTAGGGAACCACTTCGGTGCTCATCCGGTAAAAATTGGAACGATACGGAGAAATTAGCATGGCCTCTGCGCAACGCTGACCCGCATAAATCGAGAAGAATCGGCACTTTTTGCTTGTTGT